TTCCATTAGTCGGAAGTTTGTGTCTTTTCTTGTGATGAGGTAAATGTGTTGTGCTGATATACTATGAAGCATTGAGATGTATACAGACATGGGACACGAACGTGACTTGGAGATGGTGGTAAACAAAATTTTGAAAAAGACACACGTCTTCTAAAATGTGCTTGTTATGTCATTACTCCGTTGAGAACATGTACATCGCATGTTAGAAATAAGAAGTATATATGCCTCTCCACTTGATGTGTTAGACTTATGTCTAAGGCATGTAGATAAGTGTTCCTTGCTTGTCAGGAGATTTGGAAATATAAAGAAATGGGACAGTGTTCGTGCTTTACAACTGAACGTTGTTGATAAAGTAATATGAATGCAGAGAATCAATATACTACATTTTGAGTATGTTTTCTGTTGTTTCCCAAACTTCACATATGGAGGGTTTTAGAAACAAACTCCACAAAGAAGGGCCTAAGGCATGACATTGATTTTGGAAAATGATTGAACAAATCCATTTAGGACCTTGTGAAAATTGCATGCTTCAAAAGATTTTTAACCTATGTTTTAGTGTTTCCATAATAAGAGTTCACTTGGACTCCTGAAGTGATTGTAAATATATTGTTGGCTTGAGGGCATAAGACATGGCATGAACTTTGAAGACAAATATAATGGATGGATTTAGGACCTGTAGGAAGGTTGCACGCTTAAAACGATTTTTAACCTTTGGTTTAGTGTTTTAGCTACGGGACTCCAAAAATGTAGGAGTAAATGGTGATTGTTATATATAACAAACAACTCATATTACCAAGAGCAATTAATAATGCAAAATAAGAAATAGAAAGTGAGAAAACAGAAGATTTAAGATGTTTTACTATCAATGTGAGAGCTACGTGCACTTGGTACTATAGAATTGTGCTATAATTAAGAGGGGAGTGACAATATGTTTTAAACTTTCGTCTCTCTATGTTTTTTCTCTTCTATGATGCTGAATGAAGGCTCGACCTCATAGTCTTTATCTACGAAGAATATACTAGGGCTACATGAACATGTAGAATTTTCCAAAGTACCTCGAATCCCGTCACCTTGATGCCTACCGCTCCCAGATCCCCATCAACCTTACCTCGAAGGTCAAACTGAAGACAAGAAAAAGTACGTACAGTACATTAGGTTCCATTTCTATCAATACTTCAAATTTCAGCTGTTTTGTCTACATCATTTCATAATACATGGGATAATGCTTTGAATTAATGTACTTCCAATCATGGGAAAAGTTGAAGGACAAGGAGAGTCATGGCATGGTCATGTCACTACAGTATCTGTAGCTTCTGAATTTTCAGGCAACAATGAACTGTGCTACGTGTACAGGTGGGAGGTTTATAGATTTCGTACAAATAAGATACAAGGGTCGTGTGAGTGGTTCATTTTTGAGGAAAAAAAATCACATGGGGCTCGGTCTATATAGATCGGGCTTCGGCAACAATCAGCCAAGAAACTCATGAACTTGCTTGAGGACATCAGTGACAAGATGTAAGTGGACATGCTTTTGATGAATGAAAGTGGGCTTATATTTCATAGAATCTAAATCACATTGAGATTTTACAGTGCAATTAGTTGGGAAATTAAAATTTGATTCGAAATTTTTTTACTTTAAACTATTGCATTTTACAGTGCTTTGAAGCTTTTTGTGCTTATTTTACCAATTTTTATATCTCGAAATTCCATGATTTAACACCCAAAGTTCTTCATATTCACATTTATAGTCCTCCTTCGTAATCAACAGTTGATAGGAATTGCTGGATGGGCTCTATGTCTTAAAGCGTGCTTCATTTTTGTAGTGATAAGGCTTATTTCGTTGATCTTTTTGTGAGAGCTTCAAATACACCTGCTATCAAGATGTATGAAAAGGTAATATCTTGTAATTTCTGCTAGTTTTACTCTGTATAATGTGCGCCCCTAACATATTTTCTTTTGATCCCTTCTTGTTGTACAGTTAGGGGTTCTGTGAACTCCTACCGAACACTCACATGGGGTGCGTCCCATGTGAGTAAAAAATTGGAAAAAAATCCACCCCGCCCACCCCATGTGAGTATTCTGTACATGTTCCGTAAACAATAAATTTGTACACACAGGTTTATTGTTTTCTTTTACAATGTGAACCGAGTACAAGGACGAATTTCTATTCTTAATCATATCAATTACTATGCTCATTTCCCTGCTTTGTCCTTTCAGCTTGGCTATATAGTTTATAGAAGGGTAATACGTTATTACTCTGCAAAAGAGGGTGGATTGGGTGAGCTGCTGCAAATGACTCCACAAGTTCATTATTCTGCATCATGATGTGTAGTTTTATTTCTCTCTTTGTTTTCTTTCTCAGATATGAAGAAAGCTTTTATCTCGAGATGTAGAAAAGAAGTCTGTTGTTCCTCTCAATCAGCCAATTACATTAAAATTTAAATATGTTTTTCTTGATTGAAAGAATGTCTTAGATTTGGTACGTCTTTTCAATTTGAACTAGTTGGAATGGAGTATTTTGTTGGAAAAAATGAGTAATAGCTAACTTCTGGCAAGACTTTCGGTGAGACCCATTGGTCCAATTTGGAAGATCAAAGTTGATCCGTGTTCTCCTCCGTAAGAGCATCAAAATCATATATTTACTTGCAAAAAATGAAGTTCGAGTGAATGAGAAATTGGAACTCAAAGTTGACCGTTGAAAGATGGTTTTATGTGAAAAAATAGCTTTTGTCCCACATAGGAAAAGGAAGAAAGTAAGAACCATTTTATATATGGTTGCACATTGGAAGGGTGTAATCATATGTAGTATAAAAGCCCTCTCCACGTGCGCACAGGGAGATGCAAATCTCGGACCAAAATAGCCTTCGTATCTTGAACTTATGTGCGGGCGCAACTTGTGTACACAAATGTCGACCGAATGAAGGAAAAATTGGCCCCTTCAAAGAGTCCACGTTTTGTAAATTTTTTCTTGTTTTCTTAACCTAACTTTTGAGTTTGTGAAACTTCCAAAACTCCCAGAAATTGAAGTGACTCCAATGTTAATTGCCATAGAGTTAATAACAAATTTATGCTATATTAAATCTCAAGTTTCCAGCAATTTACACAGATGAGATGAACAAGAAAAACATTTTCTTCCTCAATTTTCAGAAAAACGTCCCCTGCATTTTTTGTCTATGTCTTTGTCCAGTAAGGTCGTTGTGATATTGTTCAGACACTTTATTAGTTCGTCGGAGTAGTTTATGTGATGCTCAGATTCTACGGGTTTTGCCATTGTATCCTGGGAAACAGACGCTCAAATTAAATCTCAAGCACTAACGGTGAAGGGGCGAATCTGTTTTAAGGAAACTGTGTTCACACAGGCCTCGGGTTGAAAATTTATCTGCTATTTATTTAGTTTACATTTTATTCTTTCAGATTTATTTTTTTAGCGATTTACACGTTTGCAACATGCTTGACTCATATACTGTTTGTTAAATTTATGTTAGAAATAGATAAATAAAAGAAACTATTTTTTTGTAATTCGTTATATGTGTGAAAATAGATTTCACATACACGGTATTTCTATTTATAAATACAAAAATTTGTGTTATTTTAGTTAGTGTATGAATAAAAATACTTTATGCAAATTCTGTGCAAATACGGTGAGTTTCGCTGCCAAATACAATGAGTTACCATATACGTGAGCTTTCTACAAATACAGTAGGCAGCATATACGGTGAGCTTTCTGCAAATACGATAAGTTGCTTGCAAATACGGTAGGCTGCAAATACGGTAAGTTGCTTGCAAATACGGTAAGCTACCTGCAAATACGGTAAGCGCCATATACGATATATGCATATACGGTATGCTTAAAATTGGTGTTTAAACTACATATATGGCATGTGATAATTCGGTTTCATTAACACCACTATATTCGAACAAACTTAAAACAGATTCTTAAAAAAAAAATTGGTTTCTTATACTGTTAATTTTAGAAACTAATTTTTTATTTTGACTTTTAGAAATAGTAACCGAATCGACCAACATGGATGTGATCCAAACTATGCCTATTGAAAATCAGGCTATGGGCTCTGCTATGGCTCAAGGGCCAAGCTCTGTTGTGGCTCAGACTGTGGCTAGATTGTCGAGTCATGTTTTGAGTCAAACTGTGGCTCCAACAACTGGCCATACCATTAATGTTCCGGTTAATCATGGAGAAAAATTAGAGAAATTTAATGACTTGAATTTCAAAAGGTGGCAGCAGAAAATGTTATTTTATTTGACCACTTTGAATCTTGCGAGATTTTTGACTGAGACTGCTCCAACACTCAATAAGGGTGAGGGAGATGTTCAAGCCATCAGTGCACTTGATGCTTGGAACCATTCGGATTTTCTATGTCGAAACTATATTATGAATAGTTTAGTAGACATGCTATACAATGTGTATAGTACTATGAAAATTGTTAAGGAACCGTGGGAGTCTTTGGACCCAAAATATAAAACTGATGATGCCGGAGCTAAAAAGTTCATTATCGATAGATTCTTAGATTACAAAATGGTGGACTCCAAAACATTTATCAGTCAAGTGCAAAAACTCCAAGTAATTCTTCACTAAATTCATGTCGAAGGAATGATTTTGAGTGAAACTTTTCAAATGGCTGCAATTATTGAAAAATTGCCCCCAGCATAGAAAGATTTCAAAAATTATTTGAAGCACAAGTGAAAGGAAATGATCATCGAAGAACTAATTGTTTGACTTCGAATTGAAGAAGACAACAAGAGCTCTGAAAAGAAATTGTTCAATCCTAGGATGGCTAAAGCCAATGTTGTGGAGTTTGGTCAAAGTAGTAAGAACTACAAAAATAAGTCTGGACCATCCAGTGGCAAAAGGACCAAGCAAGGACCGAAAGGTGGAATTTCTAAGAAGAAATTTCAAGGAAAATGCTTCAATTGTGACAAAGTAGGACACAAGTCTTCGGAGTGAAGATTTTCAAAGAAGAATGAAAGAAGCAAATGTGGTTAATTACATGGCACAAGATGTATCGGAGCTGAATCTCTCAGTCGTTGTTTCTGTAGTGAATATGGTGGGTTCAAACCTTAAAGAGTGGTGATTGACACCGATGCTACGAGGCATGTGTGCTCTGATAAGGAGCTTTTTACTGTGTTCGAAGCAATTGAGAATGGGGAGAAGTTGTTTATGAGAAATTCAGCAACTTTTGAAATCAAAGGTCAATGAAAGGTGGTTCTGAAGATGATATCGGGAAAGGAGCCGACTCTTAACAATGTGCTATACGTGTTAAAAATTCGCAAGAACCTAGTATCTGAGTTGCTTTTGAATAAGCATGGTTTTCGCATTGTATTTGAGTTAGACAAAGTTATTTTGTCAAAAAGTGGAACGTTTGTCGGAATATGTTATGTTTTCGATGGTAAGTTTAAACTCAATATAATGGTTGTTAAACAAAAAATGAATAAAGCAAACTCTTCTGCTTATTTGCTTGAGTCTTCCAATTTGTGGCATGGTTAGGACATGTTAACTATGATACTTTATAAAGACTAGTTAATTTGAATTGCATACCCTAGTTCCACATTGATTCAAAACATAAGTGTGAAACTTGTGTTGAGACAAAATTGATAAGGTCATCGTTTAAATCAATTGAACGGAACACAGAACCACTTGATATAATTCACAGTGACGTATGTGACTTAAAACTTGTACAAACAAGATGTGACAACAAGTATTTCATTACTTTTGTCGACGATAGCACCATATAGTGTTATGTGTATTTGCTAAAAAGTAAAGATGAAGCTATAAAGAAATTTGTTCTCTATAAGAGTGAAGTTGAAACTCAACTTAATAAGAAAATTAAGGTACTAAGAAGTGATCGAGGTGGTGAGTATGAAGTACCATTTGCGAAATTCTGTGCATAACATGGAATCATACATGAAACCACCGCACCTTATTCATCGCAACAAAATGGTGTAGCTGAACGAAAAAATCGCACTTTAAAGGAAATGATGAATACAATGCTAGTAAGTTTTAGGTTACCTCAGAACATGTGGTGGAAAGTTGTGTTATCAGCAAATTATCTTTTAAATAAGGTACCCAAAAAAAAAATGAAAAATACCCCTTATGAGTTATGGAAAGGAAGAAAGTCTTCTAATAAATACTTACGAGTATGGGGGTGTCTTGTTAAAGTGGTCGTTCCAACACCAAAGAAGGTAAGGATAGGGTCAAAGACAGTAGATTGCATCTTCATTGGGTACGCACACAACAGTAGTGCTTATCGATTTCTTGTATATAATTCTAAAATCCATGGTATATACAAAAACACGATATTAGAATAAAAAAATGCTTCATTCTTTGAACATGTATTTTCGTACAAGTCCAAAAAAGAAGCAAGCTCCTCCAAACGAACATATGAGACAATGACTAAAAATAGTCATGATGAAGAACTAGAAAAGGAGACTGAGGTTAGACGCAGCAAACGGGAAAGGACAGAAAAATCGTATGGTCCTGATTTTCTAACCTATATGCCAGAAAGTGAACCTCAAAGTTATTAAGAGGCTGTGAATTCCTCAGAGGGACCTTAATGGAAGGAGGTCATTAAAAGTGAGATAGATTCTATATTGCAAAATCATACATGGAAATTAGTGGATCTTCCTCCAGAAAGCAAACCACTAGGCTATAAATGGATTTTCAAAAGGAAAATGAGAGCAGATGAAACTATCGAAAAGTACAAGGCCAGATTAGTAATAAAAGGTTACAAACAAAGGAAAGATCTTGATTATTTTGATACGTATTCTCCGGTGACGAGAATAATATCTATTAGGTTGATACTTGCGATTGTCGCTTTGCGAAATCTTGAAGTACATCAAATGGATGTTAAAACTACCTTTCTAAATGGAGATTTAGAAGAAGAAATTTATATGGAACAACCCGATGGATTTTCATCACCAGGGCAAGAAAAGAAAGTTTATAAATTGGTGAAATCATTATATGGTTTGAAACAAGCGCCCAAACAATAACATGAAAATTTTGATAATGTCAGGATAGAGAGTGGATTTAAAATCAATGAGTGTGACAAATGTGTTTGCGTCAAAGACACTAAAGATGGTTATGTCATTTTATATCTTTACATTGACGACATGCTTATTGTCGGTAGTGACAATAAGATGATTGAACCCACTAAAAATATGTTGAATTTGATATTTAACATGAAATATATGGGTTTAGCTGATGTTTTTCTTGGAGTCAAAATCTCAAGAATATCAGATGGGCTTGTTCTAAGTCAGTCACATAATGTGGACAAACTTTTGGAAAAATTTCAATACGGATGATATTGGCTTGGCTAGAACACCGATAGGTACAAGTCAACATCTTTCTAAAAACAAAGATGAAAGTGTCTCTCAAGTAGAATACTCAAGAGTTATTGGAAGTCTAATATAGTTGATAAGTTGTACAAGACCAGATATAGCCTACAT